ACCTCTCACATGGCTTTGAGACCTGTCAGCTAGGATGAGGCCCGAACTTCTGACCACTGCCTGGCACTGCCAGGGCTGGAAAGTGAACTGCTGCTGTCTCCCTGAAGGCCCCAGTGTGTGGCCCCAGCCTGCTCTTCTCTGACTGCGCACCACAGCTATTTCTAGTTCTTCTGTCTCCTTCACTCATCCCAAGACCTGATCGGCTGCTCTCCTTTCTCCCACCTGCACAACAAGACCAAATCAAAGTCAGGCGTGCAGAGCTGCCCCTTGGGGTTGAACAGCTGTTTTTCTGCCTGTCTGTATCCAGAGGTGTGACAAACCTTCCAGGCCCTGCCCAGACCTCCTCAACCAGATTCCTTGGGAGTGGACCTCCTAGCAATTGTTTTGATGAGCTTCTGTCGTGATTCTCAGGTCATCTGCCCATTGGTCCATGGGTAAAGGCTGGGTTTTGCGTTCCAGGCATTCCTGGCGTGCCCCAGACTACATCACTTGCCTGCTTCTTAGGCTCTGCCTGCTCCTTGATGGGTCTCATGCGCCCATGTGCCCTGACACCTGCTGGGAGGCCACTCAGCTCATCATGTTTTTATTTAACCAGTGCCCCCAGTTCCTTAGTTAACCCTCCCATTGTCCACTCAGGTGGCAAGTGCTGCCTCTTTCTGATTTTGATCCTTATTCCCTGAAACAGTGGATCATTCTGAATTTTAAACTTCCCAAGGATGTATTCTCCTTGGATTTGTGGAGGCCGGGGTCCTTTGAAAAGGAAGTTTATGAATTGTGGACTAGACCTCTGCCCCGAACTTAGTAATGCAGATCTCTGCTCCAAAATTAGTAACCCAGTATGTATAAAGAAAATGCTTTTTAAAGTCTATCAAAATTGTCTCCACATATAGATATTTAATAAAACATTTTTGAATTGTGAAACTTCAGTGTTTTGTTGATTTCTCCTGTAGCACTGGAAGTAACATGTACGACTACTATAGAAAACACAGAAGATGCAGGCGGATATAAAGAAAGGTGACCCACACATCGCCATGCCGCAGCCACAGTTAGCACTGCAGTGCGTGCCCTTCCGGGCTGAGTTCAAGTCTGTGCTGCGTGCCAGCGTGGCAGTCTTGTAGTCCCTGAGCGCGAGCTGTTTCAGCTCCCCTTTGAGCAGACCGTGGGAGTTTTTCCTGGTAAACCCCGAGTTCTCCTCTGCTTTGCTTCATCCTCCAGTTGATTTGTGTTTTTACCGGGCATCCTTTTTGTTTCAGCACTGGGAAAGCCAGCAACTAGAGAGCCACTTATTGTGTAGAAAATAACTGAAGCTGTGTCTTTCCAGGTTTTTTTTTTTTTTTTTTTTTTATCTTTTTCTTCTTTATCGGTACCGAGGATTGAACTCACGACCACACACCTCCAAGGCAGGCTTATGCCGCTAAGCTAAATCCCCAGCACCAGTCTTTCCATGTTTTTGAGAGTGTTGCAGGCACCTGGCACAGAACTGAAAGACATGGTGGGAAGGAGTCTCCTCCTCAGCCCAGCCCCCAGCTGTCTTTGCCCTTGGCCAGTGCCCTTGGCTGTGGTCATCTTCCCGCAGCGCTTTCATGAGCATTCTGTGTACACACAAGCACACCTTCTTCTCCTGGATGTTGTTCTTAACACAAACAGTTGTATACAAAATAGAGGGTTTTTACTTGTACCTTTCACATGGTGATGTCTTGAAGATAATTCCTTATGGCTTCCTTGTTTTTTTTTTTGTTGTTGTTTTTTACTGCTTTGTGCTATTCCTTTGATGGCTTGTCGCTTGTTAGTGGTGGTTCCTCTTGGGGACATGTAGTCTGCTGCCTGTATTTTGCAGTCACAGACACCTTGGCAGCTGACTTCCCAGAGGCCGGAGCAGTTTGCACATTGGAGTGTGCCTGGCGTGGTGAGGTGGGGTGGTGGAGTTGGGGTTTCCAGGAGGGACAGCTGACCACTTGACAACCAGCTCTCCAGTTTCTTTCCCTTCCTCCATGCCCGCCATGTCCATTACTTCTCCCCTTTCCCCTTCCCCTTTGGTTTTGTGATTGTCTTTCTGAGTTTTTGGCTATGACAGGATTTCAGAGGCTGCTCCTTGGGTATCCATGATTGCCAGGACCTTTGCTTGGCTGAAGTTCCCAATGCACTAGCAAGCCCCAGCAGGTGACTGTATGTCGCCCAGAGGAGGTAGTGTGGTGTCCAGGATTCTGCTCCTGGAGGGAGTGTGGTTGTCCATTGGCATCTCAGGATGCCTCTGTTACATTGAGGCCCTAGGGTTGGGGACCACCCTTGCTCTTTTGTATGCCCCCCGCCCAGCTATGTGGCACCTGGCCCTGAACACAGGTTGGGCTGGCCCAGCCCCAGGGCCAGATCCTGGGTCTCCTGAGTCTCCTGAGGTTAGGCCGGCTCCTCTGAGTGATGGGGTAAGCAATGTTCCTCCTTCAGGGGGCTGTTGGAGGTGTCAGAGGGCAGTGAGGGTGTCTGGTGGTGTGGCTTGATGTGGCCAGTCGAGAGACAAGTGCCCCCTGCTTTTTTGCCAGAGTTGTGATTATTTTGTTCCCTCAGCCCACAGTTGGAAGAGCTGTAGGACTCCTGGGAGCTCAGTCCCTGAGATTTGAGCCAGCCTGTTCTCTAGATGACTTTTTTCATTGTTGTTGATTTCTTAATTTATGTGTTCCATCTGTTCGAAGTTAGAGGCCTGTTTTGGTTGCTTTTTTCTTTTAAAGGACTGGATGATGTAAATGTGGACTGATTGGAAGTCACTGTAGTTGAGAAGAGAGGTGGGAGCCATGTGCCAGGCTAACCTGGATGTTGGCAGGACTCCTCGGGGAAACTAAGATCCTGGGGGGCCCTGGGGAGACTCACTGCCCCTGCTGGTGTGGGTTACATGTAGCCCTCACTGTCCCCTGCCTTTCCCATCGTGTGGGCCACATTCTTGTCTGAGGTTAAGATTTTCACCCTGGAGCAGAGGCAGGGAGTCCTAGCCACCTGCCGGGTGACCTGGGGTTGGTCCTGTTATTGTCACTGGTGCTCACTGCAGTTTTCTCGACTCTCCAGGGGGACGAGGGACCTGGGAATGGGGTGGCCTTCTGAGATGTCTAGATTCTCAGAAAGGGTGAGGGTGAGTATGGCACATGTTCTTTATGATGGTCCTCTTGTGGGCACGGGCTTAGGGTTGTGCCATTGTACATCTAGCCTGTCGCTCGTGAAATTGTGGGTGCAGATGGATATTGGCCCCCATCCCTTCAGGAACTGAGAGGAGCAGGATGACATGAGGTCTCTGAAAGCATCAACCATGGTGGTCTCACACTGGGTTCCTTGGGTCCCAGGGTCTGTTGAGATGTCAGCAGTTCCCATGGTGGACCTGGTCAGCTCTTGAGGCCTCGATCCTCGTGTCTCATGTGGTGACTCCTCTGTGCAGTTACATTGAGTATCTGGATATAGGTGGCATCTCGCCCTTGAGGGTGATGTGTGGTACCTGCTCATGACTGCCTGGAGGTTTCCTTTGTGCCTGTCTCCTCCCTGAGGCCATAAGCCCCTCACGGTCCCAGATTGCCTGGGACCCTTAGCTTGCTGGGATGAAATTTGTTGGACCCTTAGCTTGCTAAACCAGGCCTGGCCAGATCTTCCTGTATGTATACCTTCAGTTACCAGCAATGGCTTTTGAGTGTCTGTATGCTAGGTGGGTGCACAGTTTTGAATCCAACATAGTACTTGCTCCAATGAGCTGGTCCCACCCTTCTCTGAGCATCTGCTAGAGGTCCTTCTTCTTAGCAGAATGAGCACAGCGTAGCCAGGCATCGTGGCATGTCTGTAATCCTAGGACTCTGGAAGGCTGAAGCTGTAAGATCCTAAGCTTGTATGCAGCCTGGGCAATTTAGTGACCTAGTGAGATCTTGTCTCAAAATTAAAAAACAGAAAAGGACTGGGAATATAATTTAGTGTGAAGGCCGTGGGTTAAAACCCCAGTACTACACACACACACACACACACACACACACACACATCTTGGTCATCACCCTCTCATGCTTCTTGGGTGGCGGCAATCCATACTCTGGAACAAAGGCAGCGGGAGCTGTTGTTTTCTGAGGTACTGTGTGGGTGGGTGGGTGGGGAAGGTGGTGGGGGCCAGGGAAGGCTTCCTGGGGAGCCTGCCAAAGCCAAGGCCTAAGGGCTGGGATGAAAATGTATACCCAGGTCAAGGTCAAGACATCCCTGAGTGACAGGCCACACTGAGATGGGCCCTGGCTTGTGGCAGGACCCGGGGGTGGGGGGGGTGTCAGGGTCTGGGTTGGGGTCGGGGAGATGAAGGCTTTGTGAGCCCTGGGCAGATCCACACACAATCCAAACCCCAGGGTCTTAAGTCAAGTGGGGATGAGTTAGATACAAGCATGGACTGTTGGTGGTGGTGTGGCTGTGTGGGAGGGGGTGATGGGTGGAGGATACGAGGCTCAGGCCAGGCAGGGTGTGGGAGAACCAGGGGTTAAGGGGGGATGGGCAGGGAGTCAGTGGGGACCAAATGGCCCAGATGGAGAAACACTGATGCAGGACTGGGAAGAAGCCATGACTTCCTACAAGCGAGAGTAGCTGGGCCAGGCCACAGTGTGCCCCAGAGGTGGTAGATGTGGGGAGCATGGGCAGTGGTTGGGCTGAGCAAGGATGCAGGCTGTGGTGGTGCATTTCTGGTGGGGAGTGCATTGGGTGATCTGGGGCCCATGAGGAAGGCCTGGCCCCAGGTCCCAGGGAGATGCTGCTGTCCATGCCGTGGCCCTGAAGCCAACTCCTTTGGGAGCCAACCCTCATTTAAGCTTTGGGTGGTTTTGGTGGGAGCTGGGAGCTCAGAAACCTAGTTCTCAAAAACCAGGCCACTATGGGGATGGCATGAGAGCCCCGCTGCTGGTCCTTCCACAGCTTCCTGCCCATCCTCTTTCAGCCAGAGTGGACACAGTGGAAAGCTATTCCTGCTGCTGTAATAACGCCTTTTTCTTTGTTTTTCTCTACAGGAAACGAGGCATAGAGGTCGTGCAGGTGAGTACAGACCACGTTTCACTACTTTCCAAGTAGGGGTCCTGCCGCCCATGCCAGCTTTCCTGTCTTCTTGAGCGTCTGGGTGCTTGGTCCTTTCCTTGTGTGCATCTGGTTTGTGACTTTCCCTAAGGAACTGATGCAGTTTCTGCCCCAGGCGGGGCGCAGACTTGGGCTGCTGGCTGCTCGGGTGTGGAGAAGGAGGCTGGAGGGGATTAGTTTGCGAGTGGAGGGGGCATGGTAGTGCTTGGGTTTGGGTAGAAAGGGTGAAGGGACAGTGGCCACTCAAAAAGTTTTCCTGTCGTCCTGTTCCCTAGATGGACTTGGGTCAGGGGCTCATTGGCTGGAGAAGGGATGGAAGGAGAAGACAGGATAGAGAGAGGGAGGGAGGGGGAAGGAAGGAAGGAAGGAAGGGTGGGTGGATGGAAGGAGCAGGAAGATGAGTGGATGGAGGGAACGAGAGGTGATAGAAAAGAATGGATGTATGGAGGAATAAGGAAAGATGGATGAAAGGAGAGGGAGGGAAGGAAGGAAGGATAGATTGATGAGTAGATGGAGAGACAGGGAAGGGAGGATGGATGGATGGGCTGGATGGATAGAGGAACGGAAGGATGGTTGGAGGATGGATAGATGAGGGGGAAGGATGGATGGAGGACAGAAGGAGAAGGCATGAGTAGAGGAGGGGAGAAGGAAAGAAGGAAGGAAGGAAGGAAGGAAGGAAGGAAGGATAAAAAACTCACCCAGGGCATGAGGCTGGCCCAGGTCCTGAATTAGCCACACAGGGTAGCAGGCATCTCAGGAGAGCCGGGAGGTTTGGCCTCTCAGGGCGGAGCCTGGGGCCAGGGACACCTGGGAGCCTCCTGACCAGCACATTACCTTCTGTGGTTATGAACGGTGAAAGATGGGTATGGGCAACAGTTTTCTCCACATAAACGCAAAAATACACGGAGACCCCTGAGGGGCAGGTGTGTCCGCTGATGCTGGTCTGGCCCTTGTGGGTGTGCAGTGAATCCCATGGCTGTTGCCCTCACTGTCCCTTCAGAGTGCCTCTGCCTGCAGCTGCTGGGAACCGGGTCAGGGCTGCTGAGGAGCCTGCTGGCAGGCATCTGCGGTGTTTCCTGAAAGCCTGCTGCGGGGCTCTGAGCCTCCTTTGCTCCTGGGATCAGAGTGGGGTGAGGTGGTCCCTCTGTCCAGCAGTCTGGGGAGGCATTGCTGGACTCTGCCTATGGTCTCCTGCTAGCGATTTGAGGGCTGAACTTGATTGAGGTTTCTTTTGGGATGGGGAGGTCGTTTCTGGAAGCCTCTCACACCTGTTTTTGCCCTGGTTCATCTCAGCTCTTCAGAGTTGCATGACCGAAACTGACCTTTTCTATGGGCCTTGATTGTCCATCCATCCACTGGGGATAGTTGGGGTTGAGGACTGGCCTAGACAGGTGCTTTCAGGGCGTCCCAGGCAGGTTAGTCGTGGCCATCTGGGGGATTCTGTGACTGAATGAGGATCAGGGCTGCCAAGGGCCTGTTCACTGTGGGGCTGGCCATCTCTCAGGTCATTTCCCCGGCAGGATGCTGTGGCTTCAGCCAATTTTGATGGTGACCTTGGAAACCCCCATTCTCTGCAGAAGCCCCTTACCTACCAGCAAGCCCTCAGCTGGGAGCTGGTGCTGTGTGTGGGGATATCTCAGCTTCCCTGCAGTTAGCTGCAGCCACTGGTGAGGGTCTTGGGGAATTGCTCCCTGGATTTGTTTCTGAGGAAGTGAGTTCCTTTGAGCACAGCAAACACCCAGCATGACTGGGAAAGAAGCACCTTCTCAAAGTGCAGCACGGCAGGGCATCACCCTGCACCCCTGGAGGTTGCTGGATGAAGCCAGGAGGTCAAAAGCTTGGTTCATGCTCTTTCTCAGACCAGACCGTTCATGCACTCAGTTGGGTGGAGTAGGGGACAGGAGCCTTTGTTTTAGATTGTGTGTGGCAAAAGGACTCTGGAATCCTTTGATGTGTCTGTGGTTCATTTTGATGATGACTTGGGGGCAGAAGTAGTGGCTGGGGACCAGGGTGGTGCCAGACCGGATGCTTTCCACCCCAGCATCTAAAAATACAGCCCATCACGGTGCCTCCCTGCACACCTCCTCCTGGCATCCCCGAGTCTTTGGAGAACTTTTACATTTTAAGACATAGGGAAAGGCTCTTTGTGCAAAATGCATGCCAAACCACTTGGCAGCCTTGCCAAAATCAGCTGAGCTTCTGTGTGCCAGATCCCAGGCTGTGGCCCCTGGAAGCTGGAGGTGGGTGCTTTGCCAGTCCGTGGGTTCAGACGTGAATGAGGGTGATGGTGAGGATGAGCTGACCTGAACCTCCTGGTCACGTCCTCTATCCCATTCCGTATAGCCCTCTGCGGATGTGGGAGGAGTCATGTCCTTCATAAAGATGAGCAAACAGGCTCAGGATGGTGTGACCAGGAGTTGAGATGTAGTGTGGGTCTGTCTGTTTGTCTGCTCTGGGGATCTCCACTGCATTTGAGCAAACTGCCCTGTTGCTGTGTCCTTCCCTGCCAAGGATTGCTGGCCTGTAGCCACTAACTCAAAGGATTTTGTGGCCTGGGCTTATACTCCAAGGCTGTGGAAGCCTGGTACGATCCTGTAGTGCTTGTCCAGGTCACGGAAGTCATTTTTCTTTCTGCTGTGTAATGGCAGCAGTAGCAGTGGTAGCATTTATGGGGACTTCTGAGTACCTGTAGCAGGCGTTGACATCATTTTCTCTAGAGGAGCATTTGTGTGTGACCTTTTCCAGGTGTATGCAGGAGCATATTTGAGAAAGTTAATTTTGCAGCTTCTCAGCTTCCTCATGTGGGTCTCTCCCACATCTGGTGTGCTGGGAAGGAGCCTGTCAACTTTCCTTCCTTGTCCCCCAGCTGTTCCATCTGTGTTGTATCTCTGTATGGACAGCGTGCATAGTGGTGAGAAAGCCTGCCTGGGTTCAGGTCTCTGGCTGTGTGATGTCATGCCAGCTAATGCCTAAGCACTCTGCATATCAGTCTGCTCACCTGTGAAATGGGCATGATCCTAGTGGCTGAAGACTGAGTTAATTCAGTTGGCCCCAGACCTGGTGCACGGAGAGGCAGGTGACCTGCAGAACCATGCTCTGTCACTGAACATAGGAGACCTGAAACTCTTTGTGGGACTACAGCCCATGAGATCCCCCAGGTGTTAGGGAAGGTTGCTGGTCTTAGTAATCCTCAATCAGGGTGCTGTTTCCTCGTCCACACTTGGAACAAACTGAAAGACGACCTGATGAAGTTGTCAACTGAGGTCACATTAAAAATGATTTTGGAGAACTGGAGTGTAGCTTAGTAGTAGAGCCCTTGCCTAGCATGCATAAGGCCCAGCACTCCTGAAGAAAAAAAGAGTTTTTGATAAGAGATTACTGTAATTCTTGGCTTATAATTCCAAAGAAATCTAAAGAATTTGTTCTGAAAAATCTTTTTCCATTCCCTCTTTGTATTTTGTTTTTCTAGTAAGTGGTTTTAACACTGAATGTATAAAAACAGAAAAGTGAAAAGAGAATTGGTAAGTCTTGTCTCATTCTAGCAATAGGTAAAAATTCATCTATGGGTACGTGAAATAACTTAAGAAAGTCCCGCTCTTTATAGTTGTTTTCTTTCTTCTTTTCTTTTCTTTTCTTTTCTTTTCTTTTCTTTTCTTTTCTTCTTTCCTTCCTTCCTTCCTTCCTTCCTTCCTTCCTTCCTTTCCTTCCTTTTTGTCTTTTTGAGATAGGATCTTGCTATGCAGTTCAGGCTGGCCTTGAGCTCACTTGTAGCCCAGGATTGTCTCCAATTTGCAACAGTTCTCCTGCCTCAGCCTCCTGGGTGCTGGGATTACAAGCATTGCCCCCTCGCCTGGCTTAGAGTTATATTCTGATAAAGTTTAACCTTTTTATACTGTTTTGTACAGTTTTGGATGTTTCTGTCATGTTGATCAACTATGTACTAAAATAGTAATTATAATTTTAATTTAATTCAGAATTAAATTTTGTTTTAAAGAGGTTTAGGTCATAGGAAAAATTTTAAACAGGAACATTTTTATATTGGTATCTATCTATATCTATTTATCTATGTATTTGGGCCCAGTAGTATAACAAGAATCATTAAAAGAGTTTTCAATATGAAGTACACTGTGATAGTATAAACATGTCTGAAGAAAGTGAATTGGAAATTAGAATCCAAAGAAGGAAAGGAATATTGTTAGCTTTTCAGCTGTCTAAGAGGAGCTCGGTTATGTAACTTTAAAACGGATGATAGTGGTTCTCCCATCATTGTGGTAGATTCCATTGGATCCATTTAAAAGGGAAATAGTAACAGTTTTATTTTAAAATGTTAATATTTATAGTATGTTGGAAATTGCATCCTCTGCAAGTATTTAAACTTATGATGAGAAATTTTAGATGTTATCTTAAAAATGTGCAAAAAGATGCACTGTTTGAAGCATTTATTTTGAGGAGTTGGTTCAAAGGCCATTTGCTTCTCAGAACCAGGTACCACTTCAGAGAGGGATGGCAGTGGGTCTGGCTCTCGGGTCACCTGAGACCCAGAGAAGCCCCCCGGGGTTTCCTGGGCAGTGAGCTGTCAGCAGGTAGACTGTCCTCCTATCATGTGGCCCGTTGGGGCATACAGTGATAATGGTGATGAAAGATGTGTGCCACCCACTCGTGGAGGGAGAGGCATCACAGGCCAGACCTTGGGTGCTCAGGAGCAGGGGAAGCCCATGCTGTGTGTCGTGCTGGGGCCTGACTGCAGGACAGGACAAGGCAGCAGTGTGCAAGGGTTGTGGGTCAGGGTGTCCCTCACCCTGTGTGGAGGTCCACCATGCCGATGAGGTTGCTGGTACCTGTTTGCCTCACTTTCCTCCTGTGTGCTGTTGTCCTGAAGCTGCTGGACCCACAGTCCTGCTGCCATTTCAGGGGTTCACATTGGCCTCACTCAGCCATGAGGGACAGGCCCTCATAGGTGG